AAAGGTATAAGAAATTCAGGAGAGAAAATATAGTATTAATTATTTACTATAAGTCATAACATATGACTTATAGTAAACAAGTATATGAAAAAATATTCAATTCGACTTAGTAATTAAAAATGCAAATTAGGGAGCTTGGCGTGGTGGTACATGCCTTTAATTCCAGCACTCAGGAGGTGGAAGCAGAGGCACACGGATCTCTGTGAGATTGAGGCTAGCCTGGTCTACATAGTGAACTCCTGGCTAGCTGGGGCTATAGGGAGACCCTATCTCAAAAAGCAACAAAACAGCAAGTTAGGGGCTGGAGAGATGGCTCAGCAGATTAGAGCACTTACTGCTCTTGCAGAGGATATGGGGTTTGGTTTCCAGCACCTACATCAGGTGGCTCACAACCACCTTGATGCCAGTTTCAGGGGATCTGATGCCCTCTAATCTCCATGGATATCTGCATGCATTAAACTCACATAGACACACACAGACAGAATGATTTAAAATGCAAATTAGTACAAAAAGAAACCATTTCTCACCTATCAAATCTGAAAGAGTTTTATTTTGAGACATGATCTTCCTGTGGCCCCAGCTAGCCTGCCCTCGCTATGTAGATCAGGCTGGCCTCAATCTCATAGAGATCCACCTGCCTCTGCCTCTCAAGTGCTGGGACTAGAGGCATGCACCACCACATCCAGCTTCATGGCATTATTTATAACAGAAATATTGGAAACGGGCTGGAGAGATGGCCTAGCAGTTCAGAACACTGACTGCTCTTCCAGAGGACCCAGGTTTGATTTCCAGCACCCACACAGTGGTTAACAACCACCCATAACTCAAGTTCCAGGAGAATCCGATGTCCTCTTCTGACCTCTGAGGGCATTGTATGATACAGGCATACACTCATACACATAAAAATAAGTATTTTTTAAAAATTGGAAACAGAAACAACTAAATGTCCAATAGGGAATTAACAAAATAAATGGCAAAAACATACTTTACTTTATAGGGCTGTTATAAAGGCTATGCTAATTAATGAGATAATGAATGCAAAGCACTTAAGATAATCCCTGGCATATCTGTGCATAAATGATGGTTGCTTTCGTGGCACATTTCGAGGGCTATCACATGGCCATTAAAATTATATTACTGGTAATGACATGATATAGTAGGTTAAAAAGGAGGTTACAGTAGAGTATAAAGACCCAATTTTATTACTATATGCATGAACACATGCACACACTAAGTACTGTATTTGTCAATTATGTATACTAAGAACTGGAAATTTCCTTTTGTTTGCAGTGCTGGTTACTGAATCTAGGGTCTTATACTCTTATGCTGTATTACTACTGAGCTATACTCTTAGCCCTTGGAAGGATTTTTAAAAATAGGTTAAATGTTAACATTTGGTTAATACTTGGTGTTCTACATGTGGTAAGATTTTGTTTTGTTTCTAATTTTCATAGCTTCTAATACATTTTATTTTTCTAACATTTTTTAAATATTTTATATTCACATGTACGGGCATATTGTTTGCATGATGTTAACTGCACCCATATTGTGCAACGCCCAAGGAGGTCAGAAGAGGGCATCAGATCTCCTGGAACTGGAATTAAAGATGGTTGTTGGCTACCATGTGGGTACTGGGAATCAAACCTGAGTCCTCTGCACCAGCAGCCAGTGCTCTTAACTGCTGAGCCATTACTCCAGCCCCATTTTTTTTCTAACATATTAAGAAGTATGTAGTACTTTTTTGTTTGTTTTGCTTTGTTTTTGAGACAGGGTCTCCCTGTAGCTCCAGTTGGCCTGGGACTTGCTATGTAGACCAGTCTGGTCTTGATCTCACAGAGCTGACTTCCTGTGAGCTGAGATTAAAGGCATCATGCCATCATGCCCAGCTGTATTACTCTTTTATTTGGAAAGATAAAAATGTAAGTAAATTGCATTGCTTTGGAAGAAACAGAAGTGTTCAGCTTACTACTGGCCGAAGAATAATGAACATAAAATTTTATCCCATAACTAAATAATCACAAAATAGAAACTTTTGGGGCTAGGGATATAGCTCAGTTGGTAGAGTGCTTGCCCTGGCATGTATAAAGCCCTGGGTTGGGCTCCAAGCACTGCGTAAAAATAGGCATGGTAGCGTATATCCATAATCCCAGCACTCAGGAGGTGGAGTCAAGAGAATAGAAGTTTAAGATCATCTTCAGGATAGCAAATTTGAAGCCAGCTTGGGACACATGAGACCTTGCCTAAAAATTAATAAAATTACTCTCTCTCCTCTCTCTCTCTCTCTCTTTCTCAGCACATGTATGTGTATGTATGTGAGTGGCTGCCCCTGTGTGCCATGTGTGTTCACCCTGTGTTTGGGACAGGGTCACTCATGGTCCAGAACTTCACCTAGTAGGCTAGGCCAGAAGGCCAGGGAACCCTAGGTACCCACTTGTCTCTACCTCCCCTCTCACCATGGCTGGATTACAGGTGGCCTTGGCTTTTTCTATGAGTTCTGGCAATTGAACTCAGGTCCTCACACTTGTGAGGCAAGTGCTATTATCAACTGAGCCATCTTCCCAGCCTCACAAATTATAAACTTTGATTTTATAATATGTACTTTTACAAATATGAACAAAGCAAGAGAAAAGAAGAGAAGGAGGAAGAGGATGAGGAGGAGGCAAGAAGCAAGCACAAAGGAGACTGCAGAGAGCAGGGGATGCAGAAGCAGAGACTGCAGAGCTGGAGGGCATTTCACTTGCTCAGCATTTACCAAGTACCGTGTACTAAGCACTTGTGTACAAACATGACACACCTGCTTTCAAAAACACTTATAGTCTGTCTAGTTCCATACTTTTCTGTCAAAAACAGAAGGGAGAAAAAAAGAATTCTAAAAGGATTCACTTGAACCAAGAGCCTATCCAAGAGCCACCAAGTTTAAGTAAAGCATCTGCTAGATACTCTGAGGGTGTGTCTTCACATTTTTTTCATATATATACATATATATGTGCATATATATAATTTTTATTTTATGTGTATAAGTGTATTGCCTGCATGTATATGAGGGCATCCGTGTCGTGCAATGCCTCAGAGGTCAGAAGAGGGCTTCAGATTCCCCTGGAACTGAAGTCAAGGATGGTTCGTAGCTGCCATGTGGGTGCTGGGAATTGAACCTGGGTCCTCTGCAAGAGCAGCTAGTGCTCTTGACTGCTGAGCCATCTCTCCAGCCTCCATTTTTTTCTTACCTTTTTTTCTTACCTTTTCACATCTTACAGGGAGGAACTCTTATGACTTTACTTAGCCTACTACTTAAAGTCTGAGGATGCTCTACTTTGAATGAGACTGCAAGCTACCAGGCAAATATTTTTCAACAGAGAAACAGGAGCTGAAGTGATCCACCCAGCCATGGCTGGATTTCCTCACTATTGCTTAAGCAAAAGAATAGCAGGCTAAGCAAGAGCCTCCTGTGCTTTCCAGCTCTGTTACTCTGTAAATTAAGAGAATCAAGAATCTTATGATTTAATTTTGCTTAGAAACCTAAAATGTTTCATGTTTTTCAATTTGTGTCAAGATGGTTAATTCTAGAGCATTAAGTCTAGCTGTGTTTGTAATAGGAGCTGCTGTTCTAGCCCATTCCCTGGAAGCAGGACAATCAAATGCTACAAGATTCAAATTGATGCTATGGAGTGCATGCCCCTAAAGACACACAGAGGGGTAAAACTTTCTAACTCCACTGAATGGATGTATTCCTGAGAGGTGGCAAATTTTGGTAAATCAAATCTAATCAATTTTAAGAATAGCGAGAAGATCCTCTATTGAAACACTCAGATTTCTAAGGCCCAGGTCCTTCCCTTAGAAAAGTAACATACACATATATACAAAACAATGTTTTAGGAGTTCCTGAACCCCAAGTAAGAATCCAATGTCCTAAAGCAACCTGTAATTAAAAGGCATTCATAGTTGGGAATTAGGGCACACACCTGTACTCCTAGTACTTGGGAGCCCAAGGCAGGAGGACGCCATGAGTCCCAGGCCAGCCTGGGCTATAGTAAGACACTCTGTTTCAAAAAAAATTAAAAAAAAAAAACAAAAAACACTCATGGGGCTGGAGAGATGGCTCAGCAGTTAAAGCACTGATTGTTCTTACAAAGGACCAGAGTTCAGTTCCCAGCACCCACATGGCGTCTACGAACCGTCCTTAACTCCAGTTCCAGTGGAATCCTAAGCCCTCTTCTGACTTCTGCGGCATTGCACTATACGGGTGCACTCACATACATGCAGGCAATACACTCATACACATAAAATAAAAATAATAAATAAAATTTAAAAAATTAACACTCACAAATAATTCTTTTAAAAATAAAAGCTGGGCGTGGTGGCACTCCCAGCACTCAGAAGGCAGAGGCAGGTGGATTTCTGTGAGTTGGAGGCCAGCCTGGTCTACATAGCAAGTTCCAGGCCAGCTAGGGCTACAGGAGCCCATTTCAAAAAGATCTAAGAAAAAACAACAACAACAACAACAACAACAACAACAACAAAAGACTTTCAGTATTACAAATTTATAATTTATATTTTTACATATCAGGTTTATGTAAAGTGAAATTTTCTTAGAATGCAAATTTGTGCCTCAGGTATGGTAATACACACCTCTAACCCCAGCACTTGGGAGGCCAAGGCAGAAGGATTGCTGTGAGTTTGAGGCCAGTTTTGGTTATATAAAGACTTTACCTCAAGAAAAACAAACAAGAAAAGAACAGTTAAGCCAGGCCTGGTGGTGCATGCCTTTACTATCCCAGCACTGGAGAGGCAGAGGCAGGCAGATGTCTTTGAGTTCCAGGCCAGCCTGGTCTACAAAGTGAGTTCCAGGTCAGCTGGGGCTACAGGGAGACTCTGTTTTAAAAAGACAAAAGACAAAAAAAAAAAAAGTTTAGGGGTTTTTAAAAAGGCAGACCCACAGCACAGATGATTATCAACAAGTATTTGAGACCTATCTGTCTATATCTTTCCCAAGAACTCCTTACCAGTGTGTGTTTTCATGTGTTCATCGAAGTACTGTTTCATGTTGAAGTCCTTGCCACACCACTGGCACATGAACTGCTTGTGCCCAATGTGGATGCTCATGTGGGAGCGGAGCTGGTACTTGTATTGAAACCTCTCGTCACAGTTCTGCATTGGACACAGAAGATAGTGTTGAATGTCATGTAGAGATCGTTACCCGAGCCCACCCTAATGGACTTCTTAGGTTTTTTTGTAGTCAAAACAACCTGCTTATGTCAGTTATCTGGGTTTGCTGTTTCTGCAGCTGAGTTATGAATACAAGGGAAATTTTCTTATATAATTGTCACTGGAGCAGACTCAACATCTCTGAATCACTGAGAAAGGAAAGTAAGATACTGCATATGGTTCCCAAGTTATCCCAAGAGAAAGTCAACTGTGTGTTGTAGGACTGTTCTCTTCTTAGTGGTGAGCCAGCATGAAAAGCTTGGCACACACCTGAAGCTTCAGTGGCCCGCAGCCTTTGTGTCTTGCACCTTTTGCCCGTTTTCACTGCTGCATCATTTGCACAAGGTTGGACCCTGGCCTGGTCTGTGTGTTGCTTGTTCCTTACCTCACATCTGAAGGGCTTCTCCCCAGAATGCTGCAAGGAGTGCACCTTGAGTGACATACTGCGCTTGAAAGACTTTCCACAGGTTTCACATGTAAATGGCATATCTTTTGTGTGTGCTGCAACACAGAATGCACTTACACTCAAAACCATTCCACCAAAAAGCTCAAACTGGAAAAGACAGAGGTTACACAGTAAGGCAACTATGCCCTCTTAATTTTCTACTTCTGCCTTGTGGCACTTTAATAGTAATGTTCCAAAGAGAAATGAAATAGCAATGTTGAAACAGAATCTGGGTGGGGAAGACTACACCATCCAATTTGGTGATGCTTACTAAAGACATGTCACATTTAGTCTCAACATGCCAAAACTGATTAAGTATGGCAGTTCCACATGCCCTGCCCGATCCTGAGCAGAAAGCACACTAAAGCACGTTACAGGTGTGAGAGAAGAGAAGCTGAAAAACTTACCAACCATGTGTTTCCGCACATGAGCCATGGTATAGAATTTCTTCTCACAAATTTCACAAGCAAATTTCTTTTCTGCATATCCATGGACAATCTTGATATGTTCATGAAGGGACCAGAGTTTCTTGAACGATTTGTTACAGGAAACACACTGAGCAGGATAAACAGAAATAATCTTTATTTACTGGGACTTGCAGAAAATACTACCTCCTGGCAGATGAAATGGACGTATTTTAGATTCGCGGCACAACGCCAGAATCCTGACAAAAGCGATTTTTGAGATTCAGATTCCAGCACCAACATCTGTACATTCGACAGTCCAAGATGCACTTTTCGGGGACCCTTAGGGAGCATGAAAACAATGGCAAGAACTAACACAAGAAGTGGAAAGTGTCACCAACAACAAAGAACTGACTGCTACTACCCGTTAGGTCTACACCTCTGAAAAGAACACTCAAGTTGTTTGGTGTTTATTCATTTGTTTTGTTTTTCCTGTGTTTGCTTTTGAGACACAGTCCCCAATCTGGGGTGGCCTCAAACTCGCTATTTAAGGCCAGTCTCAAATCATAATCCTCCTGCCTTCATCTCCCAAGTGCTGGGATTGCAGGTGTATGCTAGCATACCCTGCTAGAACCTTCAGGCTTGTTTACCACATGGATCAACAAGTGAGGCTGCCTCCTCTACCTGGGATGCCATGTGATTAAGAGGTATTTACCAGAGAACACAAATTAATTTTAAATCAGCATAAATAAAGACAAGATATATTAATAGTTATAGATCTATAGTAGTATATTCTTATGCCTTAGAATACACATCTTAAAGAATTCAGTAACACAAATAAATCTAATTTACTCTGTTAACATTTCCCTCTAGCAGAAGTTAATGTAAGTTCTAAACTGTCATACCATTCTCCCTTTTTCCATAGCCCAGTTCCAGATTTCTCTGAAGAGTCACACTGCCTCATTCCTTGAGTTATGGCACATTTACAGCCTGACTACCCAGGCATAAAGCATAACTAAATAAAGAAAACAGTACCACAAAGCTCTTGACCCATTAGGCTCTGTGGAATGAACAGGTAAGGGTTTTCTTAAAGTGAAGGCTTCTGGGATTCACTGTCACTGCAGGAAACAAGACCCAGAGAAGAGCTGAGAGACGGGCCACCGGCTGAACACTGCTCTAGGAAAGGACAGGCTCCCTCTAGAAGCCGCCTTTGGGGGAACGGTTTTAATTTTTACTTGTTATGATGTTTCCAGGATTATTAAGATCTGTATTCAAAAAGAAGCACAGTGTTCTTTAGGAATGTGAACTGTTTTCATTTGACAGAACTCACAAAATCTAATAAGCACAAGTTTAAACATACCATGATGAGGAAAAGCACAGAAGCTCATAAAAAAATAATCCATTATTTTCTGTAAGTTACAAACCAACCAACCAACCACACAATCAAGCAAACCCCATGGATATAGATGAGGGACATCTTCTCAGTGAGGAGCTGTTATTGAATCAGCAAACCCCATGGATATAGATGAGGGACATCTTCTCAGTGAGGAGCTGTTATTGAATCCAAGTTTGACCTCTAGGGTGCAGTACCATACCACGCTCTGTTGAACTGACACCTGCAATCAATTCATGCCCAGGCAGCTGCTGGCAAACAGCGGCACAGTCTTCTTTTATTTAGTGAGTCACAATTGAAAAATCAACAGCAGATTTTTTAAAAATCTCTTTTAAAGTAAGGCACTTATCTCAGTTGTTGAATAAAAGCAACTGAAGAACAGAAAAAATTAAAGGAGACCACAAATATTAGCATTCCCCAGACCAAAGGTAAAACAATTTATCTTTTAAAAGGTTAAGCTTAAATATGATAGATTATTGTACGTATCTTATAAAGACATAACAAACTTACCTGGTATGAACAGCCATTAACATACAAACATATGTGCAAATCAATGTAGCGGCAATCCGTTCAACACAATGAAATTACACACCCCTTAACCTCTCACAATACAGTCCTTCCAGGACACCAGCCTGGTTTTAATACCAAGTTTTGTTACCTTAACAATACTGTACAGCAGCATTATGTAACCCTACTGCCAGGTAAGCAACATTTTCAGACAGCTCAGCCTCTGTTTAGAGTTGGCATATTCCCATGGGCTTGCCTCTTGACAAATTTAGTGTTGCCATCTCTCCACTGGTGACAGCAAACTCACTCCTGGAGATCTTCCATTTCCACAGGTCTGAGTCATTATGGTTTCTGTCCCCATCAGCTGCACTAGAATCTGGCATCCTTTTAAATGGAAAGGAACCTTTCTCTACTCCTGACCTTTACTCAATATCTCCCACCTTGACCGAAGATGCCAGAATGAATTATCTCACAGGTTCTACAACAGTGACTTTCAGTGCAAAGTCGGTGCTGACTTTACGTCCTGGTCAATCATCTATAACAGATCCCCCTTCCAGTGTACCTGGGTTCCCACTAGTCCAGCGTCAGTTAAGTATAATGCTTTTGAAATACAGGGTTAAGCCTTGGTTTTGAAAAGACCCAAGCAGCAGCGTCTAAAATGACAAATTGGTGAACTCTGTCCCTTCAGCCTCTATTGTATTTATTCTCTTGGGCAGACACCAGATGAATCTGAACAGCCAGGTTCTATCCTGGAAAGTTTGCCCTCTCGGTGATGAGACCTACCTGAATGTTTTTTTCACAGTCTGTTTGCTGGTGAAGGGACAGCTCACTTTCCAGGACAAACTTCTTGCCACATTTATCACAGATCTGCATACGCCTGTGAGTAACGTTCATGTGCTTCTCCAGGTACCAGCGAGTATTAAACACCCTGGGGCACTTCTCACAGGTCAGAGTCTCTTTCTCTTCACACTTAGCTTTCTGGACTGGTGCTCTGGGCTCCTTGGTGGCCCGCTTCTTACGCTTGGGCGGCTCTGCGCTCTTCCTACGGCCTCGTGTGGCACGGGGCGTCGGGGAAGTGGTGGCTGCAGCAACAGAGGCAGCTCTCCGAGTTCGCCTTTGTGTGACGCTCACTTTCTCCACTCGCTTCTCCTTTTTCTTCTGCCTTTCATTCTCCCCGTAGTCATTGCTGTCGTCGGTGGCCTCCTCACTCTCTTCCTCTTCCTCCTCACTGCTTGTCTTAAGAACAGGAGTCTCTTTGGACTGAGAAGAGACACCCTTTTCCCCTTTAGATACATTTAACGTTTGATTATTAAGGTTTACCTCCACTATGATCTGCTCCCTTTTGTAAGAGACTTCCTCTTCCTCCTCTTCCGTGTCATCAGAATTCTCCCGGTCTTCTTTGACAGCACGCACGTCAGACACTGCTCTTGTCTCCCTGAAATATGGCTGTTCCTCTGTCTCGTGGAGATGCGGTTTGCTCATCTTGGTGTCCACTAGCACAGAATAAGGGCTTCCAGACTCCCTCTTATACACTTTGGTGGACAGGTCGAGTTCTTGGCTGGCACCATGGTAGAAGGTGGATGGCGCCTGACCACGGCGGCTCTCTTCCTGTGCCATTCCTGCTGCATGCACCACACAGGTTTCAACCAGTTCCTGACAAGAACTAGCTGTGTGGCTCATTGGTAAGTGGTTCAATTTGTTAATCAGTTCAGACTATAGAGAAATAGCTTTGAAATAGGGCAATTATTGAGACTCAAATCTTTCTCCATCCACAGAGAACCATTTGAGTGAGAAACAGAAACTCCTGGAGCCTGTGTGCATTCTTCCAACATCACAGCACCAAAGCCTAGGTGGGTCAGGCAGGGCTGGTGTCACAGTAAGAGCAGAGCACTACTGATTTTCTTCTAAAGAGAGCTGCAAGGGACTTGGAACATCTTATCTACAAACAGAAACAATGAGAAAAAAAAAAATCAGACACCACCATTTCCTTCCTAGGTCATGCATTTATCATAACAAACACAGTTTAAAATTATTAAACTTCATAGATACATAATGATTTATACTTCTCGGATGCTCTGGCATGGGCCGTTATTTTACAGGCTTGCATGAGTTTCCGTTTTCAGTCAGGTACATTCTATCATGCCAAGAGCCACATCTGTCCAGTTCACTAAAAGATTTTCAAAGCTTAGCCAAGTGCCTAGCACATAGTACAGGTTTAGTGAGAAATATCTACTACTGCATGACATCTAACATCTTCGATGCTTATTGGTCCGCATGACATTCACAGTCTAGTTAGACAAGAGGTCATGAAACACTCAAGAGATGCAGATGGGCTGTGTTTTTTTTTTTTCACAGTATATTCACCACACTAAGAGTCCATGAACCAAGGCAGGACAGGCAATGTAGACCACAGAAAGAAAGCAGCTAACTGGATATAACCATAGAAAGAAAAATACTCTGGCTTTAATTATAAATGAACTGTAGATATAATTGCTTTCAGGACTATGGGAGTAAGTTCAAAACTGATAGGCATTTTGAAATTTGCTGCATGCATAGCTCACTAGATCCACTCAATAACTGGGCAGTTTTTCATGTGTCAGTTACAGAGAAATCAAAATTCTGAGAATCAGTAACCATCAAGTTGATATGGTTCCAAGAAAAATAAAACCGTCCATTTGAAAAAAAAAAAAAAAGGCACACCATTTGTTTGTGTCATGCTTTGTACTGCTGAGTTATACAAGTGCTACTGCGAGCACTACGCCATGTAGCTGACAAAAGGAATGGAGCTGGTGTCTGCCAAGAGCCTGCCATGTGCATGGGTCCTACAGAAAGCTAATTACTCATTATTTTTGCTTATACCTAGTGCAAAACTTTGAGTTTGATTTTTAACTAATCGATCAATTTTTATTTTTAGATCATTTGGTTGTTGAGATAAGGTCTTGCTATGTAGCCCAGGCTGACAGGGAGTTTGTGGTCCAGTCCAATCTTTTGCCTCAGTCTCCTAATACTGGAATTACAGGCATGTGCTACCTACCATGCCTGGCTTGAGGTTGACTTAAAAACAATAAACTTGGGGGCTGGAGAGATGGCTCAGCGGTTAAGAGCACTGACTGCTCTTGCAAAGGACCCGGGTTCGATTCCCAGCACCTACATGGCAGCTACAAACTGTCTTTTAACTCCAGTTCCAGGGGAATTCAAAGCCCTCTTCTGACCTCCGCGGCATTGCACGACATGAGTACACTCACATACATGCAGGCAATACACTTGTACACATAAAATAAAAATAATAAATATAAAAAAAACTCATCTCGAAAAAGTCAAAGTAGGCCAGGTGTGGTGGCACACGCCTTTAATCCCAGCACTCCAGAGGCAGA